TATACTAAAATATTTACAGAATTTTTCTTTTTACTTTATATAAAGCATCAGTAGTATTTTTAATTATTTAATATATAATAAACAATTTTTTAAGATTATTAAATAAGTAAAAATAGAAGAAAAAGTTGAATGAATATGAACAGAGATAAAGATTTATTTAAAGCAAAAACAAAAGTTAATAAAGATATATTTAGAATACTAGATGAGTTGAATTAGCTTATGAGTCAGATAAACTGAGTTAAGTTTAAATTAAGTTGAGTATTTTTGACTTGATGATTTACAAGTTAAGTTAAATTTAAAGTAATTTAAATATTTAACTTGACTCGATTTAAATTCAACTTGACTTAAATTGATTTGAGTAGCTTGAAATAGTATTATTTTTAAGAACATTAAAATCCAGTCTGATTCTAGTTGAGTCCTAAATCTCTTAATTCTAAAAAAGATCTAATCCATAGGACTTGGGTTCTAAGACTGGATTCTAGGACTAAGTTTCAAAACTGTAGTCCTAGAACTGTGATCCTATAAAAAATAATTGTTCAAGAAGAATAATAAGAAATCATTTGACTTGAATAATAAAAAAATTATTCAAAAAGAATGATGAGAAATCGTTTGACTTGAATGATAAAAGAAATTATTCAAAAAGAATAATGATAAATTGTTTGACTTGAACAATAAAAAAATCATTCAAGAAGAATAATAACAAATCATTTAACTTGAATGATAAAATATATTATTTAAAAAGAATGATAAGAATTCATTCAACTTGAATAATAAAAAAATTGTTCAAAAAAAATGATAAGAAATTGTTTGACTTAAATAATAAAAAAATTATTAAGAAGAATAATGATGAATTATTTAACTTAAATAATAAAATAAATCGTTTAAAAAGAATGATAATGAATTATTTAACTTAAATGACAAAAATTTATTCAAAAATGATGATAAATTATTTGACTTAAATGATAAAAAAATTATTCAAAAAGAATGATAATGAATTGTTTAACTTAAATAATAAAAAATCATTTAAGAAAAACAATTGTTTAACTTGAATGATAAAAAAATTTAAATTATTTAAGAAGAATAATAACAAATCATTTAACTTAAATGATAAAAAAATTATTCAAAAAGAATGATGACGAATTATTTGACTTAGATGATAAAAAAATCATTCAAGAAGAACAATGATAAATCATTTGACTTAAATGATAAAAAATCATTCAAGAAGAATGATGAAAAATCATTTGATTTAAGCAATAAAATAAAATTATATAAGTTCTAATTTCTATAGAATTAGTTTTATTTTTAATTATTTTTTGATTCTTAATTTATTTTTATTTTTTTCCCTTCCCTTCTTTTCTTTCTTCTGATTTTTTTATTTATTTATTTATTTATTTATTTTTTTAATTTCATTTTATAATTTTAAATTTTTTTTATTTTATTTTTAATTAATTTTTTTGATATCATTTTTTAATTTTAAAATTTTTTTCTTTTCTTTTTGATCTTTTTATTTTTTAAATTAATTTTTTTTCAAATATTATTTTTTATTTTTTATTTTTTTTTTATTCTCTTTTCTTTTTTTCTTCCAATTTTTACTTTTTTTTTTGTTTTTTTTTTTAATTAATTTTTATTTTTTTGTTTTTCAATTTATTTATTTTTTTATTTTTATTTTATTTTTTTTGTTGATTTTCTTTTTCTTTATTTTTTTCTTTACTTTTTCTTTTTCATTTCTTATCTTCCTTCATTGCATCACGTTCTTTATTTTTTTATATATTTTTATATATATTTTTTCAATATTATTTTTTTTCTTTTTTTAATTTATTTTTCTTTTTTTGAATTTTTTTTATTTAATATTTTTTTAATATATTAATCTTTCATTTATCTTTTTTTTCTTTTTTAAATATTTTTTTATCTTTTTTGTTTATTTTTCTATTTTTCATTTTTTCCCTTTCCTTTTTCAGTTCTTTTTATTTTTTATTAATTTTTTTTTATTATTATTATTTGTTTAATTTTTAGATTTTTTAATGTTAATTTTTATTTATTTATTTTTCCTTTTCCCTTTTCTTCATCCTCTCTCCCCTAATCTTTTTGTTTTTACTATTTTATTTTTTACTTCTTTTTTATTATTTTTTATTTTTTATTTTTTTATTTTATTTTTTTATTAATTTAGAAATAGCCCTTTAATGTAAATAAATTTTAGAAATAATTTTTGAGGATTTTTAAAGGTTTATTTAATTTACTTTCTTTTTTTAGAAGCGGATCATTCATTTTACAAATAAAGGTGAATATAAATTTTTTATAGTTAAATATTTATAAATTAATTTAAAATTAACCCATACCTTGATTTGAACTTGATTTAATTTGAATAAATTTAAGTCAAAATCGAGTTAGATTAAAATCAAATTAAGTCAAATTAAGTCAAGTTTAAAATTTATATAACTTGAATCAAATCAAATTGAAAGATTTTATAAAATGAACTTGACTTGACTTAACTTAAAAAAAAGTGTCAAATAGGATTGATCTTTAAATTTTATTTAACTTAACTTATTCAAAACTTTAGATATATTATTGAAATAAAAATAAATTTATTAAAACAAGAAAATTAAAAATCAAATCTTTTTTATATACTTGAATTATAATTATATAAGTCTTAAAAGTTACTATTTATTATTAAAATTATTCATTTAAAATTTAATTTACAAAAATAAATTCAAATTTTTAATTTAATGTGAATATGTTAATATTTATTTATTTTGCAATATAAATTTCTAATTTAATGTAGTAAATCATATTTAAATTATTACTAATATTGAATTGGTTTAAAATTTACTTATTAAATTTTTTTAGATTATAATAAATTTTAAATATATTATAAAATATTTATTCAAATTATATTTTTATAAAAAAATAACAAATTTTATTTCAAATTGAATTTATTGTTAATTAATTATAAAATTATTTATTTTAATTAAAAAATAATCAAAATTTTGATCAGATTAAGATTAATATTAATTAAAGTTAAATAATAAAAATAATGGAAATATTAGAAAAATATTAGATTAAATTAAGAAAAAATAGGATTTTAATTAGTAAATTTTCTGATTATTATATTTTAAACTCTTTTAGATTATATTATTCTTAACTTTTTTTTAAATAGCTAATTATTCAAATAAGAACTGAACTTTTATTAAATTTTTTTTTTAAATTTAAATATTGCAAAAAATTTTTATTTTTATTTTATATTCTTTAATTTACTTTTTTTTATTAGATATTTAATTTTTATTAAGAGTTATCTTTAAATAATATTTTATTCTTTTTTAATAAATTTGAATAAATTATAAGTTGTTTAAGTTAAGTTCTTTAAGTAGTAATTTTTGAAAAAATAGGAAAAAGCTAATAAATAAGAAAGTAATAGGCTCTTCTAATCAAACTTTTACAATATATACATTATTTTATTTTATTTATTATTCTTTTTTTATTTTTAAAATAATTTATTTATAGGAAAATATATAAAGCTTTACATTCTATATTTTTTCAGTATAAAAAATATAATGTGAAATTCAAATAATTTATAGTAAGACTTATTATTTAAAAAATAATGGATTTTTTAAAATATTTTTTATGATATAATATTAAGGTAACTTCTATTTGTATACGGATGTATTGAACACAGATCACGTGATACGGCCAGCATTAACATTACTTTTACCAACATAAAGAAATTAAGAAATTACCTATGTGATAACCAAGTGACGTATAATGAGTGACGAATAAGAATTTTTCACTGAAAAAATACTAAGTTCCTGGAATAAATAGTAAAAACTAAAGGCGGAGGGGCGTGACACTGGTGAATAATATATATGTCACGTGTTCCGTGTACATACACCCGTGTAAACTTAGAGATTTTCTAATATTAAATAGTAAATTAATTTAATTAATAACTAACATTTTTAATATTTAGAATATTTTATCTAATAATTTTATTAAATAATTAAAAAGATTATATAATAATCTATTTATATAAGAAGATACACAATATTTATTTGATAAAGATTTTTAAAATCTGCATTAATAAATAATTGTGTTAGAAGTGAAGCAGATCTTTTTTATCAATATTGATTAAGTTATCAATTTGGATGTTTGAAGAATTTGAAAATTTTAGTTTTATGATTAATAATTTAAAACAAATAATCATAAAATTAACAGCAGTATTAATAATAGTATCAATAATATGTAGTACTAATAATTATATAATCATAACTATCAAAACTATTATCAGCAGTAAAAGAAAATAACCAAAAAATTGTAGAATACATTGAAAAAATTATATCACTTCAATTTTTATAATTAATGTTAATCTACTGTAAACCTAAAGATCAATTGCATAAAATAATCCTTCAAATTTGGTTGGATAACCTTTTTTTTTTTGGTTTCTAAATTTTTTTCTTGTCATTCCGTTATTACTTTTTTCTTAAAGTAATTATATTTAAAGTTTTATTATAGCTGTACTTACTATAAAACTCAAGAATGGATTCAATTTTTTTGTTCGTCTTTCAATTAATCGATTTTAATTCTATTTTGATTGATTTGATATTTGATAGAATCGAATCACTACAATAAATGTATTGTTCTGTCATGTGAATTAATTGTACAATTTGAACCGGATTGCATATGACAATAAAACATCAAATTTATCTTATCGTATTGTTCATTATCATCGAAATATCAATCACTTTATTGGAATAACGGATGGTACAAAGTAAAATTTCCGAATAATTTATCTTTTCAAATCCAATAGAGTTAATTATTCCTAACCAATGGGGAATCTTAAGAGATTATTTAGGAAATTAGAGATATAATTCATTGGGATGTAACTTTTGCATTGATGTATTTTGGTATAATTCATGGAGATTTGGTAATTACTATTTATAATTTATTATCATACTCGTAAACGATTAAATTGTTAATCATATAAAAATTAATTTTTTAAAATCTTTGAAAAAATGACCTTGGGTTGTCAAAGAATATTACTGAAGTTACAAGAAGTTCAAGAGTTGAAGGAATGTTTGGTCCATAAGGTTATATATATTATGAAAGAAACAAGAAATCAGATATATATATTTAGGCGTCCTATTATGAGAAATCACAAGTGGATGTCTCCCGTTTTCGAACATTGATTATAGATATACGTTTGATCTATCAACTTATTAATTCGAGAATTAGAGAAATCCAGTTAGCAACACCTTTAAAATATCAATCAAAATTTGCTGGATGAAATAAAAAACTAGGATTTTAGCAAAAATAAAGCTAGTTCGTTCCCTTCGCATTGTTATAAAAGTAATTTATAAAATAAATAAAAATAATTAAATTAAAAATGTTTAGACACTTTAAAACCATTAAAAGAAAGTAAAGTAACTTCCTAACAAAACCTAATTCAAACTTTAATCTTACAAATAAGGTTCATATTTGTATAGTATAGAAAAACCATAACATACGTACCTTACATACATTAAAAAAAGAACCATATTATACATTCTACAATTTCTTTCTGGAGAATTTGTACTTTCAAATGTTCAAGGTCAGAAACTAAACTAACTAAACTTCACCCGTCAATTAGTAACTCCTGATAACGTTGATTGAGAAAAAAGTTTGCGATGATATTCGGCTCATCAGGAAGGAAGAAGTTTGTTGTGATGATATTTGGCTCCGTTGAGAAAAAGTTTACGAGGAGGAAGTTTTTGGGACAAAAATTATTCTAATTTGCATTTGAATATTAATATAAAAAAATTCACAATAGATTAATCAATTGACCGAAAATTTCTGTACCAGTGGTGGCGGACGTTGTATGATTATGCGATATTGCCCCTTTTGGGTTATGAAAAAAGTTTATTAATGGCAAAATTAATATGACTACGGTATTTGCCTTTGTCGGGAAAAATTTCCCATAATGTCACCTAAAATGAGTCAAAAAAAAAATTGAAAAAAAGAAATTTACTTCCAAAATACACGTTTTTCAGCATCAATAATTAAAATTCCTCAAAATACCATGATTTCGATTATATTATATCGGACATAATTCTTAAATAGTACAAAAAAGATGATAAGAAGAATAATGTAATGTAAATAAATGTTTCGAAAAATATTTTTTTTTCGATTTTTGATGATTTCGAATATCTATATAATTGCGAATTAAATATTGGAATTGCAAACAAAATATTCTATTTACAAACGGAAACCTTGACCAAAAGAATAAATGCCAATTTGATAATTTCTTTTTCAAAAAAATCGAAAATTTGTATAATACGTATTTCTACAATACTCTTTCAAACTATGGTTATTCTTTGAGTTTTCTTGGCTTCGTAGCCTGTTTCAGTTCCAACACATCCCAGTTTTCTATCATTAAGAGTGTTTTAATGAAGTAGAAGTATAGGCAAAGATAATATTTATAGATTTATTATCCGACAAAAAAAGTGCGTTATTTGTTGAATGTGATTTTTGATATTGTGACAAAGTCAATAAAAGGTTTCCCTCTATTCATTACTTCATGTTGTTTACAGTACGCCAGAATAATCAATTTGACCAGTTTTGTGCCTCATTTGATATCACATATTAATTATATTTTTACAAGGGTTAAATCACCTCCTCCGCTCCGTTAATCAAATAAATTTATTTTAATTGTTTATATAAATTATCTTTTTGATTTATCGTATCGTATATTTTGAAATATTTGTCAATTTGATACTTATAATATTTCATTTTTTATATGGTATATTTAGTGGATTTCTAAATTTGGTAACTGAACACTGCAAAGGTTTTTTTAAAACATTTGGTAAAAGGTTATGCGCATGCAGGTAACTACCGCGCTACTTGATCATAAAATAAAAAAAAATTAAAATAATATTTCAATCAATTTGTATCATATAAATAACTCGTTATTATTATAACTTGATGAAATATAAGGGACTTAATCTATACCGGAGAAAATTACGATCATCTAGGGAAAAATTCAATCATATAATTGATTTTAAAGACGGGATTACCGGAGCATAATGTGTATATTAATTCGATATTTACGATATAGGATAATTCGGGGGCATAATCTTATATTTTGATATTACATAATAATGCTGTAAAGTATTCAATAACTGTTTATTTATCAATTTAAAAGTAGTTATGAAAATCGATAAAATAAATAAAGTTTTAAAATATAGCGGAAATAAGGTAATAAATTATATCAATTTAAGGGATTCTTCAAATTATCATAATTATAACCTTATGGAGGTGCCTAATTTGAAAGTTATTAAGTTATGACTATAAAATGAATTAAATGAATGGATATAATATAAGAAATGATTAAATAATAATAATAATAATAATAATAATAATGAATAATCATTTTGCCGTTTTACATTCAAATATTTCCCAATTATCTATAGTACCATGAAAGTGCCAACATTTATCCCCATCATTAGGGATTGGGCCGCGCCATTTGTTATCTTCAGTAGATGCAGCAACTCTGAATTGGAGCCAATATGAATTTACTGAATCAGGGATAGACACAGAATAACCATTGTGCGCCCAATCACCACCGGCGTTGAATGAGTCGCCGCCATTAGTTACGGAGGCTGAAACATTTGTCCATGTACCTGCCGTTACCTTGTTATGTATCCACACGGTATGATCAGCTAATTTATTTCATCCAAAAAAATATATATAGTTATTAGAGCAGATGTTAATAAAATATTTTAATATTTTGTCATGATCATTCAAGTTTACCTTCAATGAGCATGAGCGCCATCGATAATAGGCTAAAGACGATTGCAATGATCGTGGAAAATTTCATGGCGAATATATTTATATACTTTTTTTAATAGGAGTAGTAAGTATGTTTTGATGAAGTTTTGATTCGATATATATAGAAAAATTTTTTCATAAGGTCACGAGGAGGGGCAGAAGATCCTACGATATTCACATTTTATAAAAAGGGACAAAATTGTAAAAAAAAAAAAATAATCAGTTTCTTTTAAATAAACACGTTCTGTTATGTAATTCTGTCAAAAATTTTCGGATATTCGATTCTAATCAATTTTAATCATTGTATATCGTAACGATCACGGACAAAATTTTTAGTTTTCCGATGCCTAATTCAGCTTCAAATAATCTTGGCATTCCTTTTTTTAACAAAAAAATTAGCAAAGTGTATGTCGATCAATTGTTTTATTTTTATCAGCCGCTCCGCCTTTTCTATTGCAAAAGGTTCATTAATCTATAAATATTTTTTTAGGATTTGATCACATTCGGGCTGCTGCTTAATGTAGGTTTTTCTTTTTCTTTTTTTTTCATTTTTTTTTTTTACTTTCTATTTTTAAAATTATAACGTAAGTAAAGCTTTTTTTATTTTTGTTTTATTTCTATTTTATTTTCATGCAGGTTTATCGACCGCGTCAGTTAAATAAGTGATCTTGTTCATTTTGTTTTCATCTTTTTTTTTTCATTTTTTTTTTTAATCTTTAGATCGAAGTGAACTAACCTAAAAAGCAAAAAAATAATCATTCAATTATAAGATCAAATTAAACACATTCACTTTTTTTTTTTTAATAATAGAGTTGTAGTCTAGTAAAAAAAATCATAAAAATTTTATTATGTACATGTACATATTACTTTAATTTAATTCATAAATACATAATTTGTATAAAATTCAGATTTTATCTAAAGTTCAATTTTAGATTTCCAATTTCAGATGGCCTCATCTGAAATTGAATTCAGATACCTCAATTTCGGATTGTCTCGTATCTTAAGTAAGATCATGACTGAAATTGGAATTCAATAACAAAAAGGATATCTGAAATTGGAAATTGGAATCTCAATTTCAGACCCCCGAAGATCGTCTGATCGATACTATAGGTGCTTGAGACACCCCTAAATAAATTAAATCCGAAGATTAAATTAAAAAAAAAAAAAAAAAAAAAAAAAAAAAAAAAAAAAGGGATGTATGCAAATTAAAAATAATAGATTATAAATATTCTTTAATTTTCAACGGAATGAATTTATGGCTAAAGTTCTCATAGAAATTGACTATTAAACATTTC